TATATATACACACACATACATATGCATATATGCTTATACATATTCATATTTTTTGTAAGTTTCAATATTATGGTGTCAGATTTAAGTATAATATGATTGAATTTATGCTGCATGCTTTATTTTTACATGAATCATGCAATGTTCTCTTATTAATAAGTGCTCCTATTTCAGTGAAAGAAAGTACTGAAATGCCCAGATATATGTGATTTTGATTATGTTCCAAAATAAAGTAAAGAAATAGAGCATAAGACATTAAACAAATGACATGCCTTTTGATTTTGTAAAGTTTGGTCAGGCAAAATGTGATGATCAGAGGTCATACATGGTGAGAACTCATCTCTTCCAGATATGAAGTCTGGATACATTAAGTAGGTGGAATGTGGAGAGTTGGTAAACTGTAATTCAATGCAGATCAAATGACATGATGAATTCACAATGAGGTTTTTACAGACCCTGTTTCAAATTATGTTGCTCTTATGAAATTCCACATGCAGATATGCACAAAATCCATAGTTTTGAAATGTATATATTGATGTTCAGCTGGGCAAATGTATATTTTTTTCCTCAGGTGTCGCTGCTGCTTTCTCTGCACACAAACCAATTTCTACAGAAAGTGGTACAAAATACGCCAGGCCTGTCTCCATGTTGTGGACAGCCCATACTTTGAGTGGTTCATCCTCATCATGATTTTCGCCTCTTCTGTCACTCTATGTTTTGAGGATGTCCACTTAGATTCCAAAAAAGAGCTTAAGGTAACATAGCGACTGCAAACTGTGACCCTTCTCATGTAGCTAAAGTCAGGAGTAGCCTTGTGTAGACCAGGTGTTTCAGATAGAGTTTTGATGTGAAAGAATTTTATAGGATGTTTCATAGAAGTCAGACTTTTGTGTCACTCAGCAGATTTTTTTTCCTCTTTTTTTTTTTTTTTTTTTTTTCTTTTTCTTTTTTCTTTGATGTTGAAGCTGAATGTAGATAAGCATAGAATCTTGTACTAAAAATATGTTTACATGTTTTGTCGCACTTCAACAGGAGAGACGGGTATTTATTAATATTTTCTTCGTTCTTTCCACCTGCTTCTTGAATGCTTCTGTTCTTCTGCTGCTGTCTGTTAATCCGGCTTGGGGACCCATTCCCCCCGCCATTACCTGTGTTGTCTACACTACCACACGCCCGTCACAGCATGGAGTGTACTACCCACATATACATAATAAAGCGCGCACACGCACACTTAAACTTACAATTCCACGTAGACAAGTATACTTACAAAAACAGTGTACACACCACACACACATACACACATGCCGCTCACAGTAGCTGTAGAAATATCTGGAAGCATATATTGTATGGACTTTCTCTTTATATATGTTTTTTGCAAGTGCTGTATTCAGCTTTGCATAGTCATAGGAAGAATGGATTTTTGGCCGAACTTTTTGTTTTCTATTTATTTTATACATCTTTTACTTTTCTTCTGTTTGTTTGGGTCTGTCGTAATTTCTTATTTTCCCGGCAGCTGATAGATTCTTTGATTATTTTCCCTCTTTCTCTCTAGGGCGATGAGATATAAAAAGAAAGTCCAGACATGTGTATTCAGAAGTACAGATGTTGCCATCATCACTCTAATGTCCAGACACAACAGCACACATGTGCCGTATTGACGGCTCCTGTCCAGGTCTATCTCCGGTCTCAATCAATCAACCAAGTTCACCATGTCTTCACCTTCGTCTTTAGTGCACCATCAGTCACTGTCATGAGCCCGCTGTTCATTTACTCTGGCTCCAGACCTAAACTCTAGTCTCGTTGGAGATATATATGTAATAAACTTTTCTTAGCATATGCACATTCATTCCTTCTTCATCTTGGATTACTAGCCTGGGAATATCATTCTTACTCATCAAAAATTATTGAATGATTTAAAAGTCAGTGAAGACATCTTAAAAACAAACTAATAGTTTGTTATTGACCATAATTATATGGAAATACTGTTCCATTGTTTCTTCAAAAGAAGTTACAACTTGGCTATAATTCATCTCTAGTTTACAATGGCTGAGTTACTTGTATTTAGAGATGTGTTCTCTATATTAATTTCCTGTATTTTGTCAGCCATTTAGAACCACACTTTCTCCTTAATGTTGAATGTGTTGCTTGTCGTGTCTTGGTTGGACCATCCTGGCTTCTATGTCTATTTGTACGTCCAGCAGCTGTCTATGTGATGCCCGAGTAACACAGATACCGGAATGCGCATCAAAATATATATATATTTTTTTGCATTTTGTGTTGTCGACGAAGCCAATGGTCAAATATGCAAGAAACCGAGGTTGGCAGTACTCTTGTTTGTCCATATGTGTTGTCCCCTAACCACCATAGCAGAATAATACACAACATTATAAATACTAACTCCCTATTGAAGAGGAACATTTCTACTAATAACAAAATAAACTAGTTTTTTAATACATTTTGGTGTACCCATCTATGAAGGTCCCTTTTTTCCTGGATTTTATTGGTGTACCCTTCCTACCGTTGATCCTTTTTTTTCTGGAACAATATTTTGAAACATGAATAGAATAATTTGTTTGTAGATACAAGTTTTGATAGTTCGCTTTACATGATTTTTTTACACTCAAAGAAGACTGTTCAGATCAGACATTTTAGTGTAAAGACAACACAAAGGTGAATTATCAAAAGCAGTCCCCATAATGCTCACCTTAGAGCCTGTTCAATAGCTCCATGCAGCTTACAGAACCTAATCTTGCTCCCGTCCACTACAGGAGGTACCTCCTACCTGAACCTCGCCTTCGCCGTTCTCTTCACGCTGGAGATGGTGATCAAGTGGGTTGCCTTTGGTTTCGTCAAGTACTTCACCTCTGTCTGGACACTCCTAGACTGCTTCATTGTCATGGTGTCACTCTGCAGTCTCTTTGTGGAGCAAGATAACCTCATTGCTCTTAGGAGTCTTCGGACACTACGAGCACTGAGGCCCCTTCGGGCTATCTCACGTTGGGAGGGGATGAAGGTAAGCAGACAGAGTGAGAGTTAGTGAATGAGTGTATGTTTTCATGTGAAGTTATATCCATATATAGGCTTTTATATGGTATGTTTCATTTATATGATATATTTTCAAAATGTGTATCACTGTACATGTTTCATTAAAACTTTTATTTCCATGTGAATATATATCATATATGGCCTTATTATATATATAGATTTAGGTCATAATGCAAATATCTGAACATGTTCATTTAATTTTAAGTAGTCAAACTACCCATATCTGTGACATATATAGATACACAAATAGGTAGTATATGAATGTTTCCTTTCCTTAGGAAAGAAAATTCATTATAATTCTTCCCTCCTGCACTTAACAGATTGTGGTGAATGCACTTATGTATGCCATCCCGTCCATCTTCAATGTGTTGCTTGTGTGCCTCGTCTTCTGGCTTATTTTCTCCATCATGGGCGTGCAGATGTTTGGGGGGAAGTTTTACAAGTGTATTGATCCTGTTGATAGAAAAATCCTCCCAGTTAAGGTTTGTAGACAAGAGGTTTTAAAACTTGAGTTGTAAGTTACTGATATTCTTTTATTTTATTTATTTTTTTTTCCACAGATAATGCAAATATGATAATGCTGAAACAATGAATTATTGATTGCCATATTGTTTGACATGTTCATGAACATATGCTAATGAAAGCTTAATTTATTAAATTTTTCTTTTTTTATTGTCAATTTGCAGATTGTAAACAATCGAAGTGATTGTGAAAGGCTAAACTACAACTGGACCAATAGCAAAATAAATTTTGATCATGTGGGTTATGCCTATTTAGCCCTGTTTCAAGTGGTAAGGAACAATAGATTACAGACTTTGTTGAAATTCTTATGCATTATAGTACTAAAAACTCCTGTAATAATGTAGATATAATGCTTTCATGACTCATGTGTAACCAATATCCCATGCTAAGAAAATATTAATTTGACAAACCTAATTAATAGTGTTGTATTTGCAGATTCCTGAAACAGTTTTAATTTTCAGAAATGTATTATCATAAAGTTATTTTAGGTATATATGGTTTTCTGTTTCCTTAATTTTTTCCCCTTATTCTCTCCTTTCTCTGATTGATTGATTTCTCTGCAGGCAACCTTTGAGGGCTGGATGGAGGTTATGGCGGATGCAGTTGATTGCCGTGGACTTGACATGCAGCCAGAGAGAGAAGCCAACATTTATGCCTACATTTACTTTGTGATCTTCATTGTGTGCGGTTCCTTCTTCACACTCAACCTCTTCATTGGTGTGATCATCGACAATTTCAATGCGCTGAAGAAGAAGGTATGTAGGCAGGCGGTTTTACACTCTAAAATCCCTTGCTGATGTTTAGTAGCATTGCATCATCCCTGTTTAGACCTCCACACTTGGATAAACATGCTGACAATATATTATGTGCACCCAGTTCATTTGAAGCTAGTGAGGTACAATTGAGAAGGCACCCATTTTTCTCTCTCTCCATTAGCTGCTTTTGAGCTAAAAAAACTCTTCAACTCCCAACAATGTGCCTTAGAGCAGCTGCAGCAGTTGTGATTGCACTATTTTGATTTTGAAAGATGTTTCATGGGCACCAGTGGTATATATGCTTACACAGTTAGGACATTGTTACTGTAGTATGTAGATCAACATTATTGCAGTAATATGATAGTTGTAAGATGTGTTCCTTTTGGTGTTCAGTGTCCCCCTGTCTTATTCTCCTCTCTGTAGCCTCTCAGATTTGTAGACTTGTCCTCAGTGACAAACAAAATTTTGATTTTGAGAACGAGAGATATTTCAAGTGCAATGCAGTCACAAAAACTTAAATGTTTTTTGCCTTAGAAGAGCATTTCCAAGCCATGGCTAAGTGCATGGAAGTCCAAATGCCAGGCATAAAACCTGTGTGACAGGCATCTTGTTATCAGAGGAAGCAGTGGCCAAGATATGGTAGTAACGATCCAGGAACACTTGATAGAATAATGGGAAATACTTTGTTCATTTCATCAGCAACATAACCATCTTTATTCCACAAGCACATATTTCTATTTAAATATATTCCCTTTCCTCACCCTCAGATATACGTATTTCTCATTATAAAAAAATGTGTTATTCCTGCTCTTACTATGTTCATAAACATTCCTCTGTGCTTATACAGTGCCTTACTGAGAGTTTTAGAGAAGTCCGCTAGCTGCCAGTGCTAAGCTGAGCCCAAGTGTGACCAAAAGGCTGTTCTCTAGCTCGAACTCTTAAACAGCACTTGAGTAATAGAACAACCCACAAATCTAAACAGTTGAGAAAAAAAAGCTTGCATGTTTTTACAACAACCAAAATAACTAGGACATGCTGAAAACCAGGGATTTGATATGCATGCTCACTTCCTACCATTTCATCACTCACTTGTACAGTCGGCAATTCCCCATTCAGAACTCTCTGTTTGGTGTTTTTCCCAGGCAACCAAGAGTGTAGTCAATGATGTCAGCAAGTTAGAAAGTGAATTATTAATATTATTATTGTTTTTGGTTGTTTTGTTACATGTCTACCATACAGTCACTTCACTGTGTGTGTATATACATCTCTTATATATATATACATATAGACATGAAAACTCCTCCTTCCGTTGGTTCTCTTAAAGTATGTTGATATTTCGTCTATTCAGTGAACTTGATTGGTGATCCAAAACCACTACTATAAATATCACATAATACATTACCAAAAAGTTATATATATAGTCAGAGCATGCAGGTATATACATGTTCTTAAACCCATAGAAATATCAACAGTTAAACCAATAACAACACTTATAAAGTGATATTTGATGTTAAAGATGTAGGAAATTTCTATGGTAGGAAATCCATACATCAGCAATTCCTTGACATCTCATTATGATTATTATTTATGCCAATCTAATACCTCTCTTTTGTGAACATTTCAGTACTAAATATAACATTGTTAATCATTCTTAACCTCTACGAGCATCCACTTAGGGACTCAAGTGATGTTGACCAGTTCAAACCTTTCTTTTCCTTCTTGTTTCAATGCCTAATGCAGTTTTCTATTACCGGTGTTAGAGCAGACTCGTAGACTGTTAGCTTTCAGTGTGTTGTGGTACCAAAACCCTCTTCTTCTCTCTCCCCTCCCAAATTCTCCCAACCTACTTGTGTAACCTTCAAAAATTAGACATTGTTATTATGTATGCTAGTGTGCTTTAACACCGGTGAGACTGCGCTACTGAGCTTAACATTGGTATCTGTTTCACGTCTGACGATCAACAGATGGTAAGTCTACAGCACTCAGCCTCAAGCACTACGGCGTCTGACGTCTTCTTTTTATTTGAATCTTTTTTATCCTTTGTTTATGGTTCTTTTTAGTCCTTAGCATTGTGTTTGCTTGCAGCAAGCATGAAAGTTATGGCGGCAGCATCCAACACTCCCTGATGCTTGAACAACTACGAAGTATTCAAGGAGTAGATGTTGGGAGTGGGGCATGGTAGTAGGCCTTTTTTTTAAGCACCTTTAGATTTGACTTTAGATGAATAGAGGTTAGCTCTCAAGCTCAGGTAATAGAAACCCAACAGGTTGAGGGATACTGTGCACTTAAAATGGTAGTGAGATGAGTCTTAAAGAATGCCTCCCTCCCAGCAGCAAGCTGTTCGCGATGAAGAGGCGTGGTGTTGACAGTTGCATGGACATTGTCAAGGATACGCCTGGTATCCATACATATATAGTATTTGCTGCCCCCTTTCTTAGCAGTTTCTTAGGTTAGGTTCCAGCATAAGGTTATTCTACTTTTAAATTTTCAGATAAAGTAGTGGTGGATGGAAATTTATCCACTAAATGATAAATCAATA